CACACACACACACACAGACGGTGAATTATATTGAATAACAGTTAAATTACAAGAAGTCATAATGTGCTTTCTAATCAGAAAATGAGGTTAAATGCATGGATTAAATTATTCATTTGAAATAAAAATACTGAAGTGCAAAGAATTAGATATGTAGATTGAAAGGCATTGCCATATTTTCTCTTGTGCCAATATTATAAAGAGCACAGGATAATTATTAGCCCAATCATTACTAGAGAGAACTCAAGTATACATTATAAACAAATTTCATTGAAAGTTAATTCAACCGTATATTTACATTGTTTTACTAACAGACACAGTAAGTAAAATTACATTTCTGTCCCTTTTTGTTTTCATTGTAATCAGATCAGCATTCCTTTCTTTCCAACACAATATGGACTTTAGTATCTCATTTTTTACAAATTCCCTGTGCCCATTTCAGTACTATAATTTTTGTGGTGTGGTTGTTAAATATTATGGGTTTTTGAAATGAAGCTGCAAAAAAAATTATGACTACAGTCAACAGGCTTTTAAAAAAATATAATGAAATTCTTATAAAAAAAACCTTTAGGAAGCAATAAACTTTTTATTTTATTTTAATATCAGCATATTTCTTTATGTAAACATGGGCTAGATGGCAAAGTATCATGGGTATAACTTTATTCTTGTCGTGCTTCTGTATTTATGAATCAAAGAGAAACCTCAGAGTAGTCTATTTTAACTCCTCACTCAACAAAGGATGTTACTACAATTTCATATTGTGGCTGATTTATTGACTTCCTGCTTTATCGGCCACTGTGCTGCTTGTCCCCTCCACCATATGCCATGTACTGCCACCCATGGAGTTGGAACATCAGATAAAGCTGGAGAGGAGATTAAATTGATGGGGTGAGGAAATGCTTCAAAGTTTTTAAGGTTCTTAGGATGCTGCAAATGCTATTTAGAAATAAGTATGAAGGAAAGTAGCTGGCATTACCTAGCTGGCTGGAAGTGGGTTAGTAGGTAGTGTGGGGAAACAAACACAATGACTTTGGGTAATAGATGGCCAGATGCTGACTACAAGCATGGTGGGATTGAGGACAAGCAAAACTTTGTATAGGGAGGGGAGACTACAATTGCACAAAATTAGGAGAAAAATAAATGCTGCTTCATAAATAAAGCACTTTGCAAGAGACATAGCTGTGATACAGATGCATTTAAGATGTAGAGAAGCCAAGTTCTGGCTCTATTGTGGCAGCCTTTCAGTGAAATCTTCACTTTGCAATTTAAAGAAAACAAATGGAACAAAATCCCAAACTTATTAGGTAACATTCAATTTCCTTCTGTATCTTCCATATGCAATTTTGTGTTCTTCAACAAAACTAATGGTTTAGCCCTATGTTCTGGTACAGTTATAGCATCCCTTTCTAAACATAAAGGTTCTCCTCTCATTGGGCATTTTTTACGTGCTGTGGGATGCAGTACCGGGCACTTTAATTAGCAAGCTGCGCTAATTATAAATGCCTGTGCATCACCTGTGTCAGCAACATTGCATGTTCCCATGCTGAAAAAATGGTGGCGGGGCCATTTCCAGTGAGTTTTATTTCAAAGTGCACCACTGCAATTTTTTTCAATGTGCAGATGTGCAGTGATGCTGATACACATGACATGTGGTGTGTTGATTTTCGTGCTCTAGCAGACTTCATTGATCAAGTCGTCATCTGTGCTCCAGCAGACTCAAATAATGAAACCTGCTCTGACATACTGGATTTCCAGTGCATTGGAGCAGGCTTTGTGCGCATGTATAGGAGCCCATTAAACTCAAGTTCTAGAGCCTTGAAGAAACAGGCGGTTTCAACTGATCACGCCATGGTTATTGAAAAAACAAACAATGTGACAGACCTAGATATTATTAAGTGAACCCATAGGGTGTCATAAGCTAGATGTTAAGCCCGTGCAATTAGGTAGCTATTCGATCCGACTTTGGATCCGGCCTCTTCAGATGCCAGTGATCTGATCCGGAGCTCCGGACCAGGTTCCCACTTTGATCGGAGCTGCCTTGGAGATCCGGCCATAGGGTATAATGGGGAATCAATGAAATATCTATAACTTTGTTGTTTTTTGTCTGATTTGGATGAAACTTGCAGGTGGTAGCCTCTGCTGAGAGCATGAAGCCTGCCAAGTTTCAAGAAGATTGGTGCAGGGGTTTGGGGGGAACTGCACCCCAAATTCTTGAAAGCAAAACTCATGTCACATCTATGTGTTACAGCACAGGGGGGTCAAAACTGCAGGGAAGGTAGCCCCTGGTGAGGCCACAAAGCCTGCCAAGTTTCAAGAAGATTGGTGCAGGAGTTTGGGGGGAGCTACACCTCAAGCTGCTGACAACACACACAGGGTCATCTATGTCACGAGTTTTGCCTAAGGTGCAGTGGGCTAAAAACTGCAGGGGTGGTGGCCCCTGCTCAGGCCACAGAGCCTGCCAGCTGTCAAGGAGATAAGTACAGGGTTTGGGGGGAAACTGCCCCTTGAGCTGCAGACAAGCAAAACTCAAACCCTTGGGTGACGCTGCGTGTGTTAAGGTGCAGCAGGGTGAAAGCTGCAGACCTGCTAGCCCCTGCTGAGGCCACAAAGTCTGCCAGCTGTCAAGGAGATCAGTGCAGGGGGGTCCTGGGGCCCTGCACCTCTAGCTGCTGACGGGCAAAACTTGAGACATGGGTGCTTGTGCAACTGTGTCTGTCTTGGGGCATGGGGGGAGGGGGGGGACTACAGCAGGCCTGGCTGCTAAGCTACTGTGTTACCAATCATGATTCACCCAGGGATCAGCTCAATACACAGTACCTAGCTACTACATAATGAGTTAACGAGCATGGATTAACACCTACAAAACCACAGACTAAGGGGAGGAAATAATCAACTGCCCCAAGACAGACAGTTAGTTGCACAAACACATGTGTTTAGAAGTTTCGTCTGTCAGCAGCTAGAGGTGCAGGGCCCCAGAACCCCCTGTACCAATCTCCTCCACAGCTGGCAGGTTTTGTGGCCTCAGCAGGGGCGACCACCCCTGCAGCTTTCACCCTGCTGCAACTTCACACACACAGTGCCATCCATGGCACAAGTTTTGCTTGTCAGCAGCCAGAGGTGCAGGGCCCCAGAAGCCAGACGACCCCTGCACCTATCTTCTTGACAGCTGGCGGGCTTTGTGGCCTCAGCAGGAGCCACCAACCCTGCAGTTTTTCAGCCCACTGCACCTTAACACACACAGGGTCATCTATGTCATGAGTTTTGCCTGTCAGCAGCTTGAGGTATAGTTCCCCCTAAACGCCTGCACTGATCTTCTTGAAACTTGGCAGGCTTTGTGGCCTCACCACGGGCTACCACCCCTGCAGTTTTCACCCCCCTGTGGTGTAATACATAGACATGACAGAGTTTTGCTTTCAAGAATTTGGGGTGCAGTTTCCCCTGAGCCCCTGCACCGATCTTCTTGAAACTTGGTGGGCTTCATGCTCTCAGCTGATGTTATTAACCCTAGAAGATTCATCTGAATCAGACAGAAAGCAACAAGGTTATAGATATTTCATTGATTCCCCATTATACCCTATGGCCGGATCTCTGAAGCGGCTCCGAAGCTTTTCCGAAGCGCTTCAGAAGCTCCGAACCACTTTGGAAAGCCTAATGAAGCCAGTGCTTCGATCCAGACATGCTGCTTCAGATGCCGAAGTGTCTGAAGCTTCTCCAGATCCGAAGCATGGTCCTAAGCCTCGCACAGCCCTACTAGATATCAGAGCTATGCCTAGCTATTTCTCTAAATACATACATAGAACTATATAAATATGTACGTTGAATGTGAGAATTTGGCAATGGGGGGGTGCTGTTTGCTTTTTCACTGTTAGCAGGTATGGTGACAGAAAATTTTTGCAAATCCTTGCAGAGCCAAGACTATATCCATTTGCAATGTTCACAACTGTACTGTGAATTTTGAGGTACCCTTTTAGGTTTGTAATTTTTTTTTTTCTTTGAAGGAAGTGTTCATGGATATGTTTTCTTTATGCTAATGCTTATGACATTATGCCACTGAAAACTTGTCTTTAGCAGAAATGAAAATAATTGCGTAAAACCATTATATTTAACTTTTCCCAGCATTTTCCCTCTTGTGCAAATATCTAAACACCTCTGGGGTGAACAACTTCACTCAGCAAAGCCAACAGATAGGGTCTTAATCAGGTACCATGTGATATATTATTCCCTTATTGCCCAATTGTGGTCTCACACATTTTTGTTACTAATAATTTTTTAAAAAGCAGTTTCTTAAATTAGTTCATATTGTCATTGTCATGTATCTTTTCTTAATATTAATGCTCTAAAGACACAATTATGTGCATGTGAAGTTTTATCTCACAGTTCCATTGTACAATGTGTACTCACATTTGTATTTACATGCACAGGTAATGTCAGGCCTATGCGCAAGCACTTAGCAGTACACTGAGTATATTACTAAGCTTTGATCAAAAAGAGTTGGAAACAAGTGAAACAGAGCACTTGCAAAGATGATTTCACCTGTAGTATGGCAATGGGTATCCTTTAGCTGTACAATTCAGCAGTATTTCTGGATCCGCTGAACCCATAGAATAAGTAATATCGTATGGCTCCTGGGTAAAAATAGGACCGTGCAGAGTATCTTCCTCTGTGAAAGAAGCAATAAGTTCAGATTAGACTTTTAATATGTATCCTATAAAGAACTGTAATTTCAGTGTTTTTGTCTCCGTTCAAAATCTGCTCCCAATATAGTACTTTGCAGGAAATGAGCCTGCAGGCATTTAACTGTAAAGCAGCAAACATTTCAACTCTGAATCATTGTAAAACCTCATTTCCAGGGTATGGCCAGAATGACAATGGAGTGTGGCTTGTTTGCATGCCTGCTACATTTAAAAAAAAATGTGCGTTCATTGCCCCTCTCCCTCTCCACCTTAAAATTGGGTTTACAAACCCTTAATGGAAGCAGAATAGAACAAGGTGATGACGTTTTGTTTTCAACGTCACCATAGTAGTCTCTCTGTTTTTTTAATACACGTATGTTCACCATATTCTGGACAGGTAGGGAATTGGTGTTACCCACTTAAACCTATGGGGAACTGAAGCACAGAGGAAAAGGCAACTACATTGGCAACAATAAATTCCTGCGCCTAAAGGGCAGGTGTCTAGATCCAGAAATGGAACGGACAAACCTGATTAATGTACCCTGTACCTTAAATGGGGAGAGTTGGGTTCTCAGGATGGTCACAGTGAGCAGGGGAATGCCTAACCAGCCCTTGAGAAACGTTAAAGAGGGCACCATGTCTAAAACGCTGTCTCCGATATGTATGTTAAACCATCTAGATCGTGGCACCTAGGCTGTCCATTTGTGTACAGTGTGGTGAAAATCCTGAAAACCCTATTTTATCAATGGTGGCAGCAGTTTTGTAATGTTTAGAGCAATTGGGAAGTAAAGATCTCACTTCAGTTGCCACCTCTGGCTAATCCTCTGAAGTTGGTCCTAATCCTCAGGAGAGTGCTAAACCATGGACAGGTACAACAGGAAGGCAGCAGGACACCTACAAATGAAGCACCCGGGCCACTGGAGATTTGCTGGTGGAAAAAGGAATACAAGATTCACAGGGCCAGACAGAGAAGGAGAAAAAGGGCAAGTGGCTGGACCAGTCCTGTCCTCAGAGTGGAAATCCTGGGTTATGGTCCTTGAACAGTTATGAGCCAATAAGTTCTTCAGATTTCAACTTTATTCCCTTCAAATTTCATGTAAGGTTCACAACTAATAGCCAAAACACGGTGGAGCGGGGCTGTTCTTTGAAAGGATTTTCATTTGCAAGAAGACACCTTGCATCTCCTGCACTCCTGGCTGAGTCTTAGGTTTTTTAAATTTTCCTTATGCTACCCTGTGATTTAATTATTGATCATTAATGATGTATTGAGAGATGGGCTGGGTTACATTCAGTGAACACTATAGATTGTCACATAGTATATTTACTAAACTTTCAGTTAAGTATAGTTTATTTCTTGTCCTATATTTTTGTGTTTGTCCTGTGGTGTTGAACAGCTTTTTGTTCTGCTCTAACTCTGATGATTTAGTTTCATTGTTTCTTTTGTCAAAATATAATATAATAGTGGCTACCAACCTTTTCAATGGAAGGTTATATTTAAATTCCAGTTGCCTTGTTAGAAATTCTCCTAAGCTTAAACACAAATACTTCCCATGTATTTTTCTATGAAAGTCTGCCCTTGAATAAATCCTGCCCTCTACTAGTAATTACATTCCTTCTACGCTTCCAGAATTACACAAAAAAATCACAGAACTCAACCAATCTTTAAGTATATTTTTATGAGTTGCACTTGGGAGGAGTCGTCTTCATGAGAGGAGGAGTTGAATTTGGAATAATAGTCGGAAAAGATTGATTTGTTTTGTACTACAATTGCTGTTTGGGAAGACACGTCTCATTTTTAAGAGTACTTTCTGTTATAAAGAAAATAGCATGGACATATATACATTAGTTACACTAGAAAGATAAAATACACCCAGCAAGTTTAGGATATAAAGCTAGAGCTATATAATAATTCAGGCCACTAAAACAGCTGAGATGAGCTAGTGGTTTGAAGGTAAAGCATTAAACGTGCCTGAACATTATACAAGATGTTATAAGTGACATAACAGACCATAAAATTCAGTAAATCATGTTTAAAAAAATATCATTTTCAATAACTTTTTCATTCTGTTGAACTTTGCAAGCTCTACATGGACTTGAATGAGCCTTCAAATATCTGCTGACTTCTCCATCACTTGTGGACATCAGTGAAGTCTCCCAGAAAATATAAAGCAAAACCAGTATCAGAGTTCAAGAAATAGCAAGATAAATATGCAGCTAAATATAAACTTTTGTATTACCTCATCCTTGGGATTCAGTGAGCCTATCCATGAACCTAAAGAAACTGTGCACTTGCATGCTTTTCTAGATCAAGGCATAAGTTCATGTATATGTGTGTATATATAAATGTGTGTGTGTGTGTGTGTGTGTATGTATGTGTGTCTATATATGAACCACTCTACAAATATATTAGGACACCAGGTCATCAACCAGATATTTTTATAACGTACTATGTTATAATATATATAAATAACCAAATATTTATATATCTTATAAATAATATATTTGTAGAGTGGTCATCAATATAGTTGGTAACCAGGTCATCAGCCAGGACCCTGTTCTACTAAAAGCATTGCAAACACAAAACAAAAATATGGCCTGTTCCCTGAAGAACTCAAAACAGATTTATATTTTTGCCAATATGGAAGTAGGGCTCTCAGTAGGGCTTTCAATGATTTATTTGTTTTCGGTGCCTTCTGCTTTGCCCTTATTAAAACTGCAGAGTCTCCATATTGTAGAACAATATTTCAAAGCCCTAGTAATTGAGGCCTTTATGAATCAAGGCTTCTGGGAAAGGAAGGAAATCAAAATAGGGGCATTTGGAGAACCTGCAAAGGAAGAGAGGGAGAAAGGAGTGGCTCAGAGGTATATTACTTTTCCTCTCTGTCCTGTGAAACTCTCTCCACACACCAATGTGTCATGAGGCAAGAGACTGGAAAGAAGAAGCTTTCTTGCAAGTTGAAGTGCCAAGTTATTTTGTAAGTCCTGGGAGGTGGAGAAAGAACCACTGATGGGGACAACAGGAAGGCAACAGAAAGCAGTGCAGCCATGGAGATGGGGAGCTGCATAAAAGCCAAGAGGCAGAGATCACAGAATCATAGAAGTAGGGTCAGAAGGGACCTTATAGATCTTCAAGTCCGACCCCCTGCCAGGGCAGGAGAAAAAACAAAACAAAACAAAAACAAACCTGGGTTCAGATGACTCCAGCCAGGTAGGCATCAAGCCTCCTCTTAAAGACCCCCAGGGTAGGGGCCAGCACCACTTCCCTTGGAAGTTGGTTCCAGCTCCTAGTCGCCCTAACTGTGAAGTAGTTCTTATGGATGTCTAATCTAAACCTCCTCTCCAACAACTTGTGGCCGTTATTCCTTGTTATGCCAGGGGGTGCTAGGGGAAACAAGGTCTCTCCCAAACCCTTCTGGTCCCCCCTAGTGAGTTTATAGACTGTCACCAGGTTCCCCCTCAGCCTTGTCTTGTGAAGGCTGAACAGGTTCAGGTCCTGCAGTCTCTCATTGTAGGGTCTGCCCTGT